GAATGAAAGTCTCATGACATGAATTAAACAATAAGATAATTCAGTGAAATAAAATATACTGAGAGAATGCTTTCAAGAAGAGTAGGCCTACATGTGGTATAATTACAATTTAGAATTAAGTAAATAATAAAAGCTCCTTGGATGCTCTCAACCAAGTGTTTAAAATAGGATTAAAACGCCTAATGGCCAAAGCCTCCATAAAGTAATAGTAATAATAATAGTAATAATAATGATAATAATAATAAAGGTAATAATAATAATAATAATAATAATAATAATAATAATAATAATAATTAATAATAATAATAATACAGTATTAAAATTACAATAATGAAATTTAATCATTGGGTAGTTCTCACATAGAATAGTCAACATGGCTTCTGTTTGAGCTGACGTCATAATCGATTAGGAGAATCTTAGGGTCTAATAAAACCAATTAGAATTTTCTCCGAAGTGTGTGAAAAGCATTTATAACTTCTTTTCTGAAACTGGGATGAAACTTCCAGACAAGCACAGGAGTAATAAGTGAATCAATCGATATCAGCATCTGAAAGAGGAATGGTCCCTTTTGTATTTTACTAACTTCCAACGTTATACATATTACCGAATACGCTATGGTAACTAAAAGGGTTCTTGTAAGGGTGAATATAGCAATTTGATAGCTCAGTTTGAACGTGCGATTTCTTCGTCCGGATGTCCTTATATAGCTTGATCTAATACCGCGTACAATGTTGACGCCAAAAAATGAATTAGCAACGACTATCAACCAGCAAAAGGTATATTTCAAATAAATTGGGTCGAAGTTGATAACATCCTCCGCCGAGTAAAACACCATCACTCCCATACAGGCACTTACTGTCCAAATGATAACAATTATTTTCCAATAAAACGGGCTCGTGTACATTAATTTGTATCTTATCGGGGCTTTAACGACAGCTGTGTATCGCTCTATCGACATATTAAGAACTGTTAACAAAGTCGAAAACCACAGACCCACAGTAAAACTGAGTATGACGCTGTCATGGTAAGGCACGCTTACAGCAACGCATCGAAGTAGCTCCGAGGCGGTAAGGTTAACGAGAAAAATGTTGTTCCTATTTCGCAATTTTTTCAGGAGAACTGTAGTTAAAACAACTAATCCATTCACCAGTATACTTGCACATAAAAAACAATAAGTCACAATTGATATAATTTTGTCCTCGGAATTGTTTAATGGCGATGTTGTTCTAGCATTAAACGAATACATATTCGGACAGAGAGTAGGCTTGTATGTTATACATCTGCTAGTCTTGAATTTAAACTGGAGTGACATTGTGAATCCATATAATATTAGTAGGCATGGGCATAAATTATTAATTGCAGTATAGAATTTAAAATGGCTATTCCAAATGAAACAAAATGTACATACAATATTTAATAATCAATAATTCAGTAGAAATAATTAATGTGGTTCTCGTGGAGGTGGCTACGTCATAATTTATTTACAACATTTCAGACTCCATCGAGGATTTTCTAAGACATCAGAAAAGTAAAATGTGTTGCAGACATCAAATTAAACTTTAGAAGATTGCATCACAAAACAGGGGTACTGACGACAGTGTCATGGCTCCCTGTTGGGGAGAGAAACAAACTTCGTAGGGAAAAATAAAAATAAATATATATTTTTTACATATTAGTAGACTCTAAAATCGTTTTAATAAGCTTTTGAAATCCCAAACTGTCATTAGTTTCCGGGGGCTACACCCCGTAGATCACTTCCGATAAATTTTGAGCGACGCCCATCTATTTATTTTCTCGTCCGTGAGTCGGCCCACCCGTCGGGTCCGCAAATGAAATTAGAATCCCAGTTCGTCGTCGAATAAACTCAGATTCTATTGATCTAGTGACAAAAATTAAGTCCCCAAATTATAGTACATGATGCAACATGTTAAATTGTCATTATCGTTTATCATCATCAGACAATTACAACAATGGGAACCAATATCTTGTGATACAAATGTTGTAACTCACACATTTAGGACCGTAATCCGGAGGGTGTGAGGACCAAGGATTCATTTACAAGTTCTCCGATGAGATTCTATTGGCCCTAACGGCCGTCCATACAAAAGGTATATGAAAATCAATCAACCGAGTTATTTTAGTGGCCGCTCAGACTAAAAAGATCTATTAATCAATTAATTAATCCATTAATCAGCAGTGTAGGCCTACTCCTAGAGCTCCTCATCGGAGCTAAAATACAACACAACACATTTCATTCTGAGTTACTATATTAAATATATTTATTATAATTAAATTGTTAATTACAAAATATTTGAAACACAAAAATTATATAAAACTGCTGTTATAACCAAGGTAATTCAACCAAGGTAATTCAACAATTACCTTGTTATAACATTTTCCATCAGAAGTTTTCGATTAAAACAAGAAACCAGGACGGATCTACATATTCGTAAGCATCTATTGGATTGGATTGGAATATTCGGTGTAAATACCAAGGATAGCCCACGAAAGTCTAGAAGAAGACTTATTTCCAGTGGGGTCTACGTTCTCGTATACAACGCCGTAGATTCAATTCAAAATACGTCATAGTCAGAGTATGACGTAATTATGTTTCAGAATTCATCATCGTCATAATCAAAAGCTCCCATAATTTGGGGATAAAACAATGCAAATTCCATGAAAGTTAAAAAGGAGAAATAATTCCAATGCCAGATACGTGATGGGAGTGGCCGATCATTTTTCAGAAGGAAAATCTTTTAATATGGTGAGCCAATAAAAACCCTGTCTTGTGAGGAATCCCCTTCTGTGGTAAAGTATAGCAAAGACAACCTTTCAACCAAACAATTAATTAAAGTGCATATTTAGAAGTTATCAAATCAACTTTTAAGCCTGTTTACTAGGCGCGTTTATTCGTGCGAGTCAAAAGCTTCGGTACATGCGCATGTGCATTCAAATTTTTATCGCAGTTTTTCGCTTCAGCAAATCAGTAGAGCTGAGAAAAATAGCAACCAATCGGAGCTCTGCTTTCGATTCGCCGAGTTTAAAACCGACTATACTGAAATAATAATAAATAAAAAATGGTTTTTCCTGCTTAAAATCCTTAAATTGATTAGCGGCCAATCCACAGTTCTATGCAAAGGAATACTGAAACTGAATAAGTTTGTTAATTGTATTTTTTTTTCTCTTTTCAATTGAAAACCAATACACACACAAAAAAGCAATTAAAATATTGAATTTATTATTCAAAGTTTAAAGTTCAAAGTTCAAAAGAACATTTATTTCTCAAAAGTAATAATAATGCAAATAATAAATAACCAGCCAAGTTTGAGGGGTGAAACCCAGAAAGCGGAGCTTGTGTAGGGCTGCCCTGAAATAAACACACAGAAAAACCAAAGCCAAAACAGAACAGGACAGGACAACGTTCAGGGGACAGGACAGGACAACATGAGACAAGAGGAGACAAGACAGACAAAGCAGACAACACGAGGATGCTCAGAAATTCATTTTTTTTCTTTTATAATTTTCATAGAGAAAGAAAATCAAAGATATAAGCAATATATTATTATATTCCAACAATATTGAGTAGTTAGATATGTAGTCTTTCTTCTATGGATCGATGAACCGACAGGCCTGAAGAACACACTTTCATACCGTAAATTATTACGACGTCAAAACCAGTGTGTATAATTCATTTAATTGATAACTAGTTGGGCTAAGCCTAGTTTGTTTGATCTGCCAACCTTTGGCGCCTAGGTAGGTTAGCATGCCTTTTGTAAGCCAGGACCCAGTAGTTTTTCATTACGTTTCTTCACAGAGGGTGGGGGAGGGGGGTTCGTCCGAACCACTTGAAACCCCCACCCCCCAGATCCGCCACTGTCACATATAGGGGTCCCAAGTCTTGTGGAAAGCTACACGCTCTCTTGCAATTCTATGGGAAGCAAATATCTCGCACAAAATGTAGAACTGCTGCATTATTAACACTGAAGCTAGCTCACCATGGGTAATCATGATACACAGCAAGATACAATAGGGAGCATTCGATTGGTGCGATGACGCGACGCTAGAACGGAATCACTCATGCGTGACCGTCCTACCTGGCGTCCTACGTTCTTCTCTGCATACGTAGATTTGGCCAAATTGCGTTCCAGAATCTACTCGACGAGGTGTCCCTAACGTTCTCGCATGCGCAGATGACTTTTAGTGACGTCATTACGTTCTACGTCTTACCGTCGTCGTGCAATCCAAAGGTCCCTAGTAAGATGTTTTAAGACAGGCTAAAAGATCTCCTGAAAGTAGCATCTCCAAACTTGGGACCCCTAATATATTAATACTTCGGTAAATCATAGTAAAGAAAACAAATTCATATTACATCAAAGTGATTAACCACCGAACACAATTACTCCAATCTCGTATCTGCAGATAATTCAATGTGATACAAAGCTATCAACATAAAAAGGTGGAATAAGGTATAAAATGTTATTGACAAATACTTTAAATTAAAAATGTACAATAAATAACATACGGTAGAACCCCCTATTAAAGGGACACCTTCGGTGGCAGCTCTAGGCCTGTCCGATGGGAGGGGGGCTTAAGAACCCAGCCACTGGTGCCGCCACTTGAAACCTTCCAGACCTAAAAAAGGTGTGTCTATCAGGTGTCCTAAAAAAAGGGGTTCTGATGTAACAGCAATAACAAAAAAATAAACAAATTATTATAATTAAATAATAACTCATAATCTAGTATTAAATCAGAACTATATTATTTTATAAAATATTATTTATTAAATATTATCTATTTACTATAATATATAACATTAATAACTATCTAATATTTCATCTTCTCTTTTCGGTAAAGAGGCCATAAAATGTTCAGTGTCCATACAGCATGTATGTACTGCTATCCACTGGACTGGAAAAGTGGGTGACTGTGCAACCGGCAGCTTTCTACTAAAAGCCTCTAGGCAGAATGAAAAAAAAAAATCTTTTTTTTTTTTTTTACAAACAATCATCTGTTAACATCTTTAGGCAAGATTATTTTTATACATTTAATAGAGTACTATTTTTAAATTTTTCTTTTGTGTAGCAAAGTGGTTTCTACTAAAAGCATCTAGGCATAATGGAAAAAAAATAAATCTGGTTTTTTTTTTTTGCATTATGCCTAGATGTACATTTTCTCATAGCGGTGGGTGGATTAATTGGCCCAAATTAAAATTTTATATTTATTCAAAATCATTATTATTGGCAGGCGGCGGGTTTGCTAAACAACATATAAAAAAAATCTCACCTTGTGGAGTGATAAATGCTATATAATAATTGTAAAAGACAATATAGATTTCTTATTGGGCAGCAGCCTCAATGCTTTATAATGAAGTCTCATTATGAAGCTTGGGGATTGGAGAGCTGAATATCATATATAGTCATGACGTGCCTATATATGGTCATGATGTGCCTATATATGGTCATGATGTGCCTATATATGGTCATGATGTGATGTCATCATGACCATATTTAGGCATTGTTAGCCTGGACAGGCAGGGCTTTGGTATTTGGTGGCCATTTCCCCACAAACCACAGTAACTCCACTCCAAACATTAGTATATATAATTTGTTACATACATTGTTTTGTGATACAGGGGTGGCACCAGGATTTGCCCAAATGGGTGGGGAGAGCGATGTTCTAGACGAGAGGGCCGATTTCCCCGACCAGAGCAAAGTGTTTGCAGTTGTGCGTGGGTCAAAATCTTTCTAAAATGGTGGTAGTGGTTTATTAATCAATTTTAGAGTCTACTAATATGTAGAAAAGACATATGATTTGTTTGTTTGTCCCCGACGAATTGTGATTTTCCTCGACGGGGGAGCCAGGTCTCCCCGACAAGGAGTTCTGGCACCCCCCCTCCCACTGGTGCCACCCCTGTTGCGATATAACATTATACAGTAATGCCAATAAGCAAATCACAAATATTTGCAAAAAAAAAAAAAAAAAAAGATAGCATGGAGAGAACTCCATAATGTACTACAATGTGTTAGATACAATTGTGTACTAAATTATTTGACTTGTGTGGTGATCTAAATCTAAAAGGTATGTAAACAGTTCTGTCATAAGTAGTAGAGCTAGATCATCACATGATAATGTGATAATAATAATAATTCTTGATTTATATAGCGCCTCACGTTGACACAACCTCGAGGCGCTTATTCATTACATCACATCCAAACATTAATGTATAATATGAATAACAGCTCAGGATATTGACATTTTTATAGGCAGCTGGATGAATTTGGGCTCAGCTTAAAATTTCCATGTGATCATTAAGGACAACCATTATATAGTACTTTAAATCTTCAGGGTTGTAGGCTGGGTGATAACATTGGTAAACTCCAAATAATAAGCATGGACTTTAACATACTGACTGCTAGACATTATTTTTAGGTTCCTTACATGTACAAACATACTTATTTGAAATTTTATCTAGTCATATATCATCAAAATGGTATGTCTAATAAATTGGCGGGAAAATATTAGGTGACGAGTAAACTCATCACTGGCATTGGGACAGTACTTTTTATTTTATTAAAAAAATTTTTTTTTTAACTATCAGCCGTTAAGTCTGTGGTTCTACAATGTATAACATTAAGGTAATATATACGCTAGAATGTTACCCCAGTTTTGACGAGTATAGTCCCTAGCATTCTCAACACCTTGTGAGACGGGTATTTTCGTAGCTGGCAGCGAATGAGTTAAAGGTGGGCAAGGGGGTTAATAATCGAGGGCCAAGAGATTAGCTTTAGAATGGGTGAAAAACTTCCCCACCCCCGACCACCACCTACATCAGCCCACCATAACTACATCCTTGTCTTGCATTTGGCACATTATTTAAAAGCAACAAACTAGAAGGTGTATCCTAAATTCTACTGTGATTACACTCTTGTCCAAAATTAGAAATTACTTTAAGTAAATTTACTTTATGTACAATTCTTTGAAATGATATGCAATATTACTTCCATTTGTCTTACAGGTCATTTCCTCTTCACCCTCCCATACTTTTTATTGTAAAGGCATACAATCTGCCGGTGAGCCTGGAGATTTAATAATTTGTTCAAGTGAGACTGCAGTACCAACAAGAAATCCAATAAAACCTATCAATGCGATGATTAAATTCTTACTAAATCTGAACTTTGACTTAGGTGACGCGTAGCCCTGCTCCGCGTAGATAAGTTCTTGTAAAATGGCGGGTAAGATCAGCGCCAAAAAACTGCTGGCGAATGACCCTATAAGTGAGATAACCAGAGCTAACTTTGGTATTGCAATTGCGAAGAGTACTGCAAAGAAAAAAAAAGAAAAAAAGATGGAATTAATAATATAATTACTTTTAAAATAAAGCTCTGCCCAGACTATCAAATTTTCTTTGAAAAACAAATTGTTTTATGCCCATATATAGTCATGATGTGTCTATATATGGTTATGATGTGATGTTATCATGACCATATTTAGGCATGTCACATAAAATTTGATAGCCTGCACATGGCTCAATAAACATTATTAATCATTTTTATCTTATACATGATAAAACAAGACATCATATATTATTACACAGAATGCGCGTTGTGAAAGATTGTGTACACTTCCCCTTTGTTTGTGTGAATTCACATCTATTCAAGATTGCTTCTGTGTACTTTTTATATTTTAAAAAAGCGGAAATCGCAGAGCATTTAGCATGGGGGTGTGTGCATGTTGACGGGGAGAGCTTATTTTTTCTGTACCATTGTCTGTATCATCACTGTATACGTATCAATTTTGCTGGCTGCTAGGAAGGTTGAAATTCAGTTATGTAAAGAGATCTATGCTTAAGTACTTAAAAACCACCTTATTTTGCCAGAACTAAGTCACTGGGTATTTATATATAGCACCTTTTCCTTTAGCTTATGAAGCATTTATTGTCCCTGATCATTGGGTTCATATTTGCGCAGTTGTAGGCAACCCCACCAGGTAATAATACATTAGACTTAGATACAGCGCTTCATGCCAACAAGGCCTCTAAGCACTTCACAGTATTTCCCCCGGCTGTTACATCAAGCACATATGGAACACATACTCAGATCACTGAGAAGAATTCCATAATGTTGCAGCTGTATCCATTATACTCCTGGGTGGAGAGAAGCAATGCAAATAAAGTGTCTTGCTCAAGGACACAAAACGAAGTGCGTAGTGAGGGACTGATACTCCGACCTCGATGCTGGAAACCAAACCATTCCCACTGGGGCAAAACACTTCCAAATCCAAACCGTTAATGCCCCTCACAGTCCATCTCAACATTTGTGGCCCCACCCTCAATACTCAGTAGGGATATCTCGGGAAAAAAGTCCTTGTAACATTTAGCATATGTCCTGTGTACCGTTTGTTTCAAGAAAAGAAGGTGCAAATCAGCCAGTCTTTTACTTATGATTTATTTTATCATATCCTGGGCACACTACAATGACAGCTTATCATAGATGTAAACCAATACTGTACTAGATACAAATAAAAAGTCAGGTTCATAAGAAAACAAAAAAGTAAACCATACTTACATGTAATTAAAACTAGTACTGTTCTAAACACGTATTCCCAAATGTCGCGCTCAATATTAAACTTGTTTTTAATTGGTGGATATAGAATCTGAACGGGCACATAGAACTGAAGACCATACGTGATGAAAATAGCGATGACAAACAGCAGTTTCACAGCTATATAGATACTATGTATAGAAGAAACCACACATGAATTGGTCTTACATAACACAAAGTTCTCCCACCAATTCAAAACACTTCAATTAAAGACTACTTTTCTCTGGCCCCAGAAGAACACCAAACTTTATATTTATAATGGTAATTTCAAACTAAAGACCAAAGCTGCTAAAGGCCATGAAAAAATTGGTCCCTAAAGTTGTCTTCAATTGAAGGTAAACCTGTTCATAATACGTACAATATATATAGGTATAGGAACACTGTTGGCCAATCACTTTTTATTGTATTTTTTAGTATTGTATACTCATCATCACAACCACCATTAATATCCGAATCCCAAAATATTTGTAATGGAGTTGTACGGATGCTTGCCTTACACAACCATGGTCTTGGTTAAGTCCTGCAGACAGGAGGATTGAATAACACATCTTAAAGATGGTGTATAGTACTAAATTGCATTTAAGCCCTCCAGGTACAACACAAGGAAAGCAGCACTGGAATCATATCACAGACCAAAGCTCAAAAAGGATCTTCACAGTTCAGCGCACAAATGTTGGATAAGAATATATTTAAAAAAAAAGAATAATTTAAAGCCATACCCTTCATCCTGAGGTATATCTAGTGTGATTGTATCCTTTAAACATTCGCCAAACGTAAGGTATCCAAACGTTCCCATCATCAAGTACATGAGGCCTACGAAGGACATCCCACAAAACAGCACCTTCTTGAAGTCTTCTGGGTTCCTCATCTTGTTTTCAAGAGGAAGAATCTGGGAAAAAAAGACAACAAATTTGAAAGAATCATTGACAACCTTTGGATTAGAGGTCTTTTCAGGGAACAGGATTTAATTGGCGTTCATATTGTATTATTTTGTTTTCTCATATGGTGTCCAATATTCCCTAATTATATGCTTCCCTATGTTAATATAAAAAGAACACTGACTAAGACTTACCACACCAATTCCCTCAAATGCATAGATTGCTGTGCCAAAAAATATAGGCCAGTCAGACACAGGCGCCACCAACTTCAGCTCACTAACAGGTTGATAATAGCCCAGATGAGAAAACATATACTAACAAACAAATACAGTATGCATCAATGTAAAATGTAATAGAATTAATAGCAGTTAGGGAGTTTTTTTATTTTTTATTGAACTAGGGATCCCAAATATAGAATCTAACACTTTGTTTTGAGAAAAGGCAATTTCCTTTTCTGCAGTTACCTGCTATTTTGTGAACTATTTTATAGTAGTGGAATTAATGCAATCATAATAACAGTAATATCTCAAATTTATATGGAGCCAACTCCAAACAAGATAAAAGGCGCAATGAATGTGAATAGCCACTGGAAAAACATAGGTCTTAAGCTGTGACTTAAAGTTGCAAAGAGTTAGAAAAAGCTGGTTCCAAAAACAGGCAGAAGTATAGTGAAAGAACATTAACCATAGGTTTTGGAACGGTATTTGGTGACAGAAAATTTTGAGGGGATGATCGGAGAGGGCGAGATGAAGTATACTGGAAAAGCAACTCAAATATGATGGTTCATTCAGATGGAGAGCTTTAAAGGTCATAACAAGTAATTTAATACCATATATGTAATCACCTAATTAGTTAATAAATTTAATTACCTCAAATATGAAACTGAGTCCAATAATAAGTAGAACATTTGCTATCATGGAGAAGATAGCCAAATCATCTAACTCACGAATATAACAGTAGATGACCACAGGAAGGAAAAACATTAAAATGAAAATCTTGATATCTGGTACTTCATCATAGTAATATTGATAAATCTAAAATGAAAATAAAATAATAATAAATAATAATAATAAAATACAATTAATAGTATACCAGCTGGGCATAATCTGGTAAAACCCTTCTAGTGGAGTATAGCTTTCTAAACCAGAGTCATGGGTTCTAATCCTGTGACATCAGTATTTTTTTTTTTTATCTAAAGAGCACCTCAATTCGCTAATCCTCATTAGTTTATAAAGTATTGTCACTTTTCATTTATTTAAGAGGACCATGGATGTGCTGGAAGGTAACAATCAATTAAAATACAGTGACCAATCATAATCATCAAAAACAATGTCATCCTCTTCCTATTAAAACGTCAAACATTTTGAATAATGTGTATAGGTAATAAAATGTGTAATGCGGTTTTTGCTAAATTGCATACTTAACAAAAAAAAAAAATTATTTTGATTACTTATCAACATAAGATGCAAAACAATATGTCCACACTATCAAATTTTCTTTGACAAAAAACAGCTGTATGCCCATATACAGTCATGACGTACCTATATATGGCCATGATGTCATCATGACCATATTTAGTCATGTCAAATGTATTTTGTCAAATGTAAATTTGATAGTATGGACAATGTTTAATATAGGAGTGTTATTTATGCGTTATTTGCAAGGAAAAACATGTTCTAGATGTAAATAAAATATAGTTTACCTGATGAATGTTATCTCCCATAAACAGAAAGTAGGCACAACAAAATCCAAATTGAGTTATAATCAGGAAGATATTTACAGAATATCTAAAAAATATAGACAATATTTATAATGATGATATTGTATTGCATAAATTTTCTCTAAGGGTAGAAGATTGATAGATAGATAAATTGATTGACAATCAATATTTTAGTAGAAGCATTGAATGTAGCAGTAAGGCTTTAGACTAATGTATTTCCCTTTCTTAAATCCTGGTTTCTATAAAATAGCTGCATCGTCGCTACAGAAATCACTACACTATGCAGCTGTACCGAATGCAAACAGGAAATGAATTAAAATGTCATTTACTTACTTGCCTAGCTTGCAGTTTCTTTGGAAGAATGAGAATGGAGAGTACTTAAAAGCATATTCAGCGACCTGACCATAACTTAGGGATACTGCTCCAATTTCATTTCTGTATATGAAAATTAAGCAAAAAGATTATCCAGTATAAATCTTTCATTACTTGTTTGGTTTATGCCCTAGCTTCATAGCCTTTTTAGTCCACAACCCAAATTAAATGTCAAGCATGCAAAACAGACGCGAACCCAAAGGACAAATTTCTCCCCTCTAATTTCATGATATAAAATGATTGAATATGGTATTATTTTTTCAGTTTGAGTGAATTATATCAATAAATCATGTCAGTGCTTTTTCTACGCGCGAGGGATAGCAGATGTCTGGAGAACCACTTGATTCTTTTGTCAACCAATTAAAAGATACCATCACTCACAAAATCAACTTAAAACCCCAAAAAAAATAAAATATAACTTTGAATTACTCATTTAACCAAACTACACAACTTACTAAATCTTTCATTAAGATTTTTTTAAATCAATCATTTTCTGACATTTTAATACATAATTTCCTAGATTTGCTGCCAGAAATTGATCAGTTATGCAAAGACATAGATACATATTTAACTGACAAGAAAAATGTTTTCTCATTATAACTTTCAGCTGAAAGCCAGACATATTGAAAAGATTGAAACTAAGACTTTCAAGTCGTCATACATAGGATTTTAAACGAAACTATTGATAACACAAGCAATACAAAAGTAAACTATTGCATATGCCATACATTAGTTACACTTTTGTTTATTGTAATTTGATTTAGTTTGTCGTCATTTGTATAAAGTAAGGTTTTCATGACCTGAAGAGATTATGCGACCCATCAAAATTTCTCTGCTACCCAAGCATATGTTGCAGAACAGCGGTCTATGAGAATGTCAGGGAAGATTCTAAATCAACTTAATAAAATAACAAAGTTAGCTTAAAAAAATCTGATGAGTTAGTTACCAGTCAGAAATCAGTGGGGTAAACAGCTGTGAGGTCTCACTGCCCAAGCCTGTGGCCCCAGGCCTTAAAGGACCTGCCAGGACATTTTTATAAGCATTTTTTTTCAATTATTTGCCGAGTGGAGCCGTTTTAAGAAACCCTAACGTGTAAAACATGAGGTCTCGCCACAAAATGAGTCTCATAGTTAGAAATTCAAAAATTGAGTTTATATTATATTTGGGTAGATCACATTATAAGCTTTAATTTGGTCTTTGAATGGCTTCCGGAGCATTTAAAGTTTAGGTGTATAAGAACCACGTTTTGAGAAAATCAAGTCAAGTTGAATGGAAGTATCTAAACCACCAAGCTATTAAACTCAACTGGTTGTCTATTGATCTGTGCTATTGGAGTTGTTATCATAGCCACTTAATCCTTGTATAAACATTGATGTTAACATTGTTTGACCTTGGAAAATTTCCTGTTTGTCATATGACTACATTTTCAACCTAGAAACTTGGAAGAAGCTTGAAATTATGTTTACTGAAAAATCAATAAAATTGAATGTTTGTATCCATTACAGGTATATGCTAAGTTAAGTTGCGTGGCGCTGGACTGCCATTTTCACAGGTCCCTGGGCGCCCAGCCGAAATTTCCGATTTACAGTTAAAATGAGGAAACATAAAGAATTATATTCATATCAATAATTGTTGTATGGTCATATATAGTCATGATGCCTATACTGTAAAACCTTGAACAGAAGCCCAATGGACTTAATCTTGAGAAGCCCATCTCAAATTGAAGCCCCCTCTTTAGTTTGTAAGCCCATCTCGAAAAGAAACCCATGGGCTTCTTTTAAAGATAACATTAACTTTTTTTTTCGAGATAGTACAGTACATACACTGTACATGAATTTCAAGGAAACAAAAAAAAAAATTAAAACATGCTTGGTTTATACAGTAGTTTAGGTGATTTAATGCTGTTAATACACTCCATGATACAGATTGATGTTACAGTGGTCCTATTTATTGTTTTATATTAGTAATTCCCAAAATCCACAGCATTTATTTTGAAATGAGCCTCCCCTCTCTCTCTCTTTACTTTGCAAAAATAGCCTCGAAAAGAAGCCCATCCAAAGTTCACAAAAAAACAAGAAGCCCAGGGCTTCAATTCGAGGTTTGGTATATGGTCATGATGTAATGTCATCATTACCATACATACACAAAGAATTATTATACATACTTAGTAGCGATTAAATGATGACTACATTCTACTAGTACCGCCATGCAGTGAGTTGCGATAATTGCCAAAATAGTTATAGCAACAGGCCCAAGCTGTGAAGATATAAATATACACAATATGCAAATTAACTACTTTTCTCTGATTGGATAATTGCCTCATTTAAATAAATGCATATCAATTAGGATTTCTGGTAACCTTTCTTCAATTATATTTTTTTCAGCTGAATAGAGCAAAACTAAAAGTGTAAATATTTTGATAGTATAGGATTTAAAATGAAGCTATTGATAACTCAAGCAAATACAAAAGTAAACTGATGTATATGCCACACATTAGTTATACTTTTGTTTACAGTAATTCAATTTTGTTTGTCTTCGGCACATGAAAACAGCCATAAGCTCTCACTATCCAAAGCCAGTGGCCCCAGACATTAAGGGATCCGCTAGAACATTTTTATGAACACTTTTTTCCAATAAATTTGCTGAGTGTGATGATATCATGTCACCATGACCATATTTGGGCATGTCACATGTTTTTTGTCAAATAAAATGTTATAGTCTTGACTGGGCTTAAGGCTCTGTCCAGACTATCAAATTTTCTTTGACAAAAACTGTTGTATGCCCATATATAGTCATGATGTGCCTATATATGGTCATAATGTGATGTCATCATGACCATATATAGG